GATGATGATAATGATGATGATGATTTGGAGGAGGAGGAGGAGGAGGAGGACGAGGAGGATGAGGAGGAGGAGGAGGGTTTGTTTGCGCGTGTGTGTGTGCGCGCGCGCGCCGCCTCCTTCGCTGCCTGTCCGCCGCCGCCTGCCGCTCCCTGCCGTGCCGTGGTCCGCTCCTCCGCGCCCTCCTCGGGGTGCCCCGCGTCCCCGCTCTGGCCCGCCTCGCTGCTGCCGCCCTCCTTGCTCGGTCCTTCGGCCCTTCGGCCTGCCACCGTTGCACTCTCGTGTGGGCCTCGGTTTGTAGTCGCCCCCGTTCGTCGCCTCTCACGGCTGCCCCCCACCCCGCCTTGCGAGACCCCAGCGCAGTGCGGCTCCCTATGGGTGGGCCCTGCGTCACCCCGTTGTTCGGCTGCCAGTCTCCGCCGTGTCGCTGCGTGCGCGGCCACGACGCCCCAAAGTGTGCGCGTTCGTTTGTTTGTTTGTTTGTCTGTTGGCTTGTGTGTGTGTGTGTGAGGGTGTGTGTGTGTGTGTGTTGTGTTTGTGTTGGTGTGTGCTTGTGTGTGTGTGTGCTTGTGTGTGTGTGTGTGTGCTTGTGTGTGTGTGTGTGTGTGCTTGTGTGTGTGTGCTTGTGTGTGTGTGTGCCTGTGTGTGTTTGTATGTCTGTGTCTGTGTGTGTGTGTGTGTGCGTCCGCGCGTGAGTGCGTGCGTGCGTGCGTGCGTGCGCGTGTGTGGTGTGTGTTTTCATCTACGGTATATATATATATATATGATGTGTTGTGATGTGTTATGATCTGGTATGTTATGCAATGGTCCGATATGCAATGATGTATGATTACATGACCTGCCATGGTCTGAGATGACAGGATATGATCTGATCTGATCTGATATGCTATGCTATGCTATGCAATATGTGTGTTTTTGAGGCGTTCCAAAAAGAGCCTTGCCTTCGAGGATCGGAGGAGTTGCCATCTCTTCTGCGGCGGGATGCGGCAGAAGGTCGGCGGAGGGCGGCTGCAGTAAAACGAGGCCGCCTCCGCCGGCGGAAGCCGGCGGAAGTGCGGCGGAAGCCTCGACGGCCCAAGGACACAGCGTGCTGCCTTTTGCGTGCTGGGTCGCAACTCCCAGCCCAACCCGACGCGCCATGGCATTTTGCGTTTTTGTGCGTTGGCGAGGCGAGCGCTCCTAGCCGGCCCAAGCTAGGTGAACGTCACCCAGTGGCTCGTTTGGCTGCTCATGGCGACGGAGACAGGGCGTAGGGGTGGCAAACGGGCCTTGAGGCGAGCCGTGCGTAGGACGCTGATAGTCGGGTGGTGCTGGTACCTTGGTAAATACTATGACCGCTCCACCGTGGGCTCCCTCGCTAGCGCCGACAGGGTCCAGACCATCATGCAAGAACCTAATCTTCCTGAGAATTCTCCCACTTATTCCTCCGTGGAGGTGGCGGCACATCATGTTCGTACGCGTCGCCGTCGGCAGAGATCGACACGATTGATGAAGGTTTGGAGCTATAACGCTGAGTCGCTCCGGGTCAAAGATCGGCTGGCATCGCTGTTGAGACTGGCCAGACGTGCAAATGTCGCCATATGTTGTTTCCAGAGCACGTTGATGGAGCTTGACGTTCCTTGGTTCAGCGAGGGTTTCCATGTTATCCCGACTTGCCGAACAGCGCCGCGAGCCAAAGATGGATGTCTCATTGCATACAACATGAAGGTGTTCTCTAAGCAGGAACTTAGGTGCACGCACGTCTGGCTTCCAGGACGCCTTCACGGGATTCGGCTTCGGCGGGGAGGCTGCCGGGACTGGGACCTGTACATTCTAAACGGGTACGCCCCGACGAACGACCCGCCAAAGGTACCCCAAGGCCAAGATACTGCCCCAGTTTACCAGGCTCACACCCAGGCCCAGGACACCTTTTGGAACCAGTGCGAGCGGGCGATCCAGCAGATTCCGCAGCGCACGGCCCTCATCATCACTCTCGATGCCAACGCCACTGTTCGCCCTCATCTTCCTCATATCGGGGAGGCGGGTAGCAAGCGCGGGGGTCCTCCGACGAATTGCAACGGCCATAAGTTCATCGATTTTTTGGAGATGTACGGGTTGAAAGCGTTGAATACTTTCGGTTGTCGGTCTCGCTTTAACGGCACATGGAAGCATACGGTGGGGAGTGGGTGGAGTACCATAGACTATATATGCACACGCTTACAAGGGTCATACGGGTTTAAGGCGTATCCTCTACGTACTCTTCCGGTTCATCTCGGAGGTTATCGTGACCATCGTCCAGTAGAAGCATACATCTACACGGGCCCTCGAGTGAAAAAGTCCCCTCCCCCGAAGTACATCCGCTGGAACAGGGATGAGCTGGTCAAGGACCTGTCCATGCTTCGTTCGCTACCCCCAGATGGACCACTTCCCCTTAGGATTGCTGAACTCCGTGCTAAAGTTTCTGACGAACTCGCGGATAGGGGTCTTCACGGCGACTGGGAATCGGAATGCGGACCCCAATTTCGTTTTCCCGACGCTTCCTCGTATTTCAATGCGGTGGAAGGCGCAGTTATTGAGGCAGCGGCCCCGCTGTACACCACTGCGCCTGCAACTGTCCAGAAGCCGGCCCTGAGCGATCCGACACTCCAGCTGATTCAAAACAAGCACTTTCTCCAACGACAGCTTGCTAATGTGGATTCTTCGGCCCCCTGGCTTTACACAAATGTTCTTGCCCAGTTCAAGGTTGCAGCACGGGCGGCGGCCCGAGCTGTTCGGACAGAGCACCGCCAGCGCACGGCGGCGATTGCGGCGGAAGCGGAAGCCGCGGATGCTGTCGGCAACCTCCGTCGTACCCATGCCATTGTCCGTCATCTGGCACCCAAGGCTGCAGCACCCATGGTAACCGTGCATAATCCAGAAAGTGGTTTTGAGTGCTTCGATGACCAGGAGGAGATGGAGGTTCGTGCGAGGGCTCTTGGGGATATCTTTGGAGCTACGGTTCTTCCTTTGAATGCCCCGGTGGACCCCCGAACCGTTCCCGCTCCAGGCGCGCATAGAATTGGAAACTATACTGCCGAGGACATCGGCAAGGCCATCGATCGCATGCCGAATTACAAGTCCGCCCCAGTCTTGAAGTGGTCGCCATTCCAGCCGCCCGACGACCCCCCTGAAGGAGCTGTTGCTGAAGTCTGGAAACTATGTCGCCCTGTAGTTCTAAAGCCTCTTCATGGTGTCTTTCATGCCTGTCAGGCCTACGGTCGTTCCGCACAACGTTTCAAGGATGGGGAAACGGTCAGCCTTCGCAAGCCAAAGGGTGACGGTCGTAATGCGCGCGACCATTATCGCACCATTAACCTGATTGGGCACATGGGGAAAGTCTATATTAACGTCACTGCCATGCCCGCCCGACGTGCCCTAGCACCCAAAATCTCGGCCACCCAGTTTGGAGCACTACAGGGACGGGCTACACGGGACGCCGTTGCACTGGTGGGGGAAGTCTTTCGACGATATCGTATTTGCCATTTGCGTTCCAGATCTGCGGGCCGGGAGACGCCAGGTATATTGGTGGCTGCTTTGATTGATCTTGAGAAAGCCTTTGATCTAGTCGACCGCGCCGACATTTGGGCAGCGTTGCGCCGTCTTGCCCTTTCCCAGGATGTTTTGTTGACAGTAGAGGAGCTACACGACGGCACGTGCTACATAGCCAGGGACGTCAGAATTAACCGGCCTGCACGCAAGCTTCTAGTCCCTCGCGGTGTCCGCCAGGGGTCCGTCGAGGGCCCCGCGCTCTTCATCGCCGTATACGACATGCTTACAGGGGGGTTAGCGCAACACCAACGGGAATCTGAGTTCGCTTGCGTCGATGTCGTCTTCGACCCTTCTCTCCGGAAGCTGCGGCATATCGATGTAGTGTCTCCTGGCGATTGTGATCACATTGATCTCACACATGTTAAGTTCGTCGACGATTTGTTAGCTTTCACGATCGTGCCGGACTTCAGCAAGGTAAGTGGGTTTCTAGATTTTCTTCGAAACGAAATTTCGGCAGGTAACATGAAGGTCAACGGGGACAAAACGGAGCTTTTGCTGGTTTTCTTTGGGAAGGACAGTAAGCAACGGCAGAAAAGCATCAAGGCTAAGTCCACCGGGGTGACCATGTCGTCTTCTTCGGGGCCTGTGCACATACATGCTTCCGCATCGGTTCGGTACTTGGGCGTTCGTCTTCGTGCTGACGGTAGTTACTCAGAAGAGGTACGCCACCGAGTGCAGGCAGCCACGGCGGCATATGCACGCCTCCAAACCCGAGCGTTCAAGGGACATTTCAGCCGACATCTCCGGATACGTCTGTGGACCTCCTTGGTGCGATCAACTGCGTTGTATGCTCTCGAGGTTGCACCTTTGTCTGCTGGCGATTTGAAAAAGCTGGAAAGATGGCAAAACCGGTGTTTGCGTTCACTTTTGAAGTCGCCTTCGCATTTGTACAAAAAGTCAAATTGCGAGATTCGCCAACAGGCTAAGATGCCCACGGTTGTTTCTACTCTGCTGGAGCGTCGCCTCCGATGGTGGCAACATGTCCTTCGCCCTGCATTTCGAGTCGCTGCCGATGGAGACGTCGACGATTACGACCCTACTCGAGCTGTCCGTGCCGCCGTGTTTGGTCGTTTTTCGTTTGAGCCCGAAGGACGTCGCGAATGCACCTCACTACTCCATCTTTTAGCCCAGGATATTGACAAGCTTTGGCAGGTCCTTGGAGGGGCCCACCGTGCCCAGGCCATCCAGGACTACCACCTCCCTGCTACTGGACCCCGCGTGGACGCTGAAGGTTTCAAGTGGCTCCTGAAGGTCTCTGTCAACCTCATCCGAAAAGTCCGGTCATTTATTGAGTTTGAGCTACAACAAGCCCGAGGTGACGCCCCTGATGTTGAGCTCCTCCCTTGTCCTGAATGCGGTCGTCTTTGCAAAGGTCCCAAAGGTCTTGATAATCACCGCTTTCGCGTGCACCACGTCGTAGCGAACCCTACCGAGTTTTCCTTGGAAGCGGTTCTAGCAAAGCAATGTCCTAGGTGCCAAAAGGAGTTCCCCCGCAAGGGTAGTCTCGTGAAACAAGTTCGACTTGGGCGGTGTCGTGCGCTTCGCCCTGATGCAGCACCAGCCTTTGGGGTTCAGGGCTTGCCTCCCCCTCCGCCTCCAGGCCTGCCTCCGCCTGCGGAGCGTTACGGCGATGTCGATGTTCGCGCCGATCGAGGAGATGACCAAAGGTGCCAAGCGTCCGGCAGAGGAGGGAAGGGCCAAGGGGGGCGAGGAGGCGGCCGCCGACAGCCAGGGCGGGGGCGCGGAGACACGTCGCCTCACGCTCCTCATGGCCAAGTTGCTCTTGCAACACGAGGACAAGAATCGCGGGGACGCGAGGGGCGACAACTTCGCGGTCACGCTGCTGCAGGACAGCCCGCTGCGGCGCGCTCTCGCAGCCGGCGTGGGCCGCTACCAGGCCGCGAACAAGAAGGCTCGGGAGGGCGCGGGCGACGGCGAGTTCAAGGGGAACCCGCTGGGCAAGCGCCCCGACGTGTACGCCAAGCAGCTCATTTTTCGCCTCCACGAGGCCGCGAAGGCAGCCGGCGCGAAGGTGACCGACGCGGCGAAGCAGGGCACGATGGCGGAGGAGACCCTCCAGGCCCTCGACACTCTCTCGAAGTACGCGACGCTGGTCCAGGACCCGGGCTTCCGCTTCACCGCGACCCGCTGCTTCAGCGTCGACTTGACGAACCAGGACGACGCGGACGAGGAGGACAAGCCGAGCGTGCGCTGGGTGTTCGCCGTGAACCACCACGTGGATCTCAAGGCAGCGCTGATGACGCTGCGCCTGAACGGGTGCTTGCAAGCCTGCCACGTCAACTTGGGCTTCGACCGCGCCCCCCGCTGCAGGACGGCGAAGGCAATCGAGAACATCGCATTCAAAAAGGGCACGGCGCAGCACAAGGGCAAGAAGAAAGCCAAAAAGCAGTAGGCCCAGCCAGCGTCGTAACGGCAGGCGCTCCTCTCTTTTCCAGCCCGGCCAGCGTCGTAACGGCAGGCCCGGCCAGTGTCGTAACGGCAGGCTCTCCTCCTTCCTGCAGCCCGGCCAGCGTCGTAACGGCGTCGCCCTTTCCTAGGGGGTCCTCCCAGCTCCCACTCTCTCACTTCTTTCAGCCCGCTCGCCCTGCGCAGAGTCGCTCCACGTACGGACCGACGATTCGAGGCGAGGGCACGAGTTCGAGTTAGGTTCTTGCCGCAGGTCTTAACTTTTTATGCGTAGGTAGCCCCTCCCACTCTCCTAGGGGGGAGGGCGGGGGGCTGTCCCTACAGTGCTGCTCTCACAGAGGTGGGAGCACGTAGGGGTGGCACGTTGGAGATGGAGATGGGGCTGGTCCGCCTCTTCCGTCCCCAGCAGTCCCCGTACGTGCTTCCTCTTGGCCCCCCGACGGGATCTTACGTGCTTCCGTCGCGCCGGTTTCGGTCGACTTTTTAGCGAGGCCCACCACGAGACGCCCTGTTGCTGAGACTTGCGGGCGTAGTGTTCGAAAAAAAAAAAGGAAGTGCGGCGGAAGGCGTCCCAAGTAAAATATGCGCCCCAAGGGATGAACACGTTGTTGGGTTCAGGGTTTTCGAAATCGGCCACAGATATACACAGATTTGTATGTACACATCTCTCTCTATATATACACATGGGTGCTTGTGTGTCTAAGCGATGCCTGAGAGCCCCGCCATCGAATGCATTGTGCCTCGACTTGCTTCGCCTCGTCGCTGCGCCAGTGGCCGCTACCGCCAACAAGTGTGTTTGTTCATGTGTGTGTGTGTGTGTGTGTTTGTGTTTGTGTGTGTGTGTGTGTGTTTGTGTGTGTGGTGTGTGGTGGGTTCCCCAACTGCACCGTGGTCTCCCATATCTGACATGGCGAGCGACAGGACGGGGAGCATACAAGAGCAGGACGGACAAGGAGGGGCGGGAGACGCAGGGAGGGTCACGAGGGGGGTATAACGAGGGCCGGTGATAAGGACAAGCCGGGAGAGGCAGGCTGAGAGGGAGCTAGGGCGACAACTCTCCCCGCGCCACCCGTCGTCGGAATCAGGCGCTCATCTCCTCCTCCCTCCTGCACCCTCCTTCTCCCCCTCCTCCTCCTCCTCCTCCTCTTCCTCCTCCTCCTCCTTTTCCTTCTCATTTTGTGGTCTCTCGCCAGGATGCGCACGACCCCGCCAGCCCTCGCCCGATGTCCCCTTGCCCCACCCCCGCCCTTCTCAGGAGGCCTCCCGTGGCCATTCTGCCCCCACCCCACCCCGCAGGGACCGCCCGCGACTCATCCTTACGCTGAAGTCGGGCACGTCCCTCTACAGGAGGACAGCTTTTCTGGTATTTTTTGGGACAAGTTTCGAGTTTTTGTTTGTTTTGTTTTTGCTGTTTGTATTCCTTTTTTTTCTCGTCCAAAATCCGCCTGTAGGAGGACCTGCACGACCTAACCTTACGCCCCCCACGCGCGCGGCTGCTTGCGGAGTTCATCCCCTCGTGCCTGTCCGATCTCTCCCGCCGCCCCGATGCCGGGTGCCGGGCCTCAGGACCCCCCCTCCCCCTCCGAGCTCAACCTCCTCGCCGTCGAACGGGAGGGGGTCCTGGCCTGGCGCGATCTGTCGGGTGGACCCTCAGCGGCGATCGCCCCGCTTTCTTACCCCCCGCCCCCCCGCCCGCGCCAGGCTCCGCTCTGAGGAGGAGGAGGAGGAGGAGGAGGAGGAGGAGAGAGGAGGAGGAGGAGGAGGAGGAGGAGGATGAGGAGGAGGCGAGGAGGAGGGGAGGAGAGGAGGAGGAGGAGGAGGAGGAGGAGGAGGAGGAGGAGGAGGAGGAGGAGGAGGAGGAGGAGGAGGAGGAGGCGCCCGGCGCTTCGCGGCCCGTTGCGCTCTCCCCGGGCGGTGCCCGCCCCCATCGCGGCGCGGCTCGAGTTGGCTTGGCCACGTGCGCAGCCTATAGCCCACCACCCCACGACCTCCGCGGGGGGGAGGGCTTGGCCTCGCGCGTGGCCTCCCCGTCGACCCCCCGCGCTCCGCGAGGGTGGCGCCTGCCTCGCCGCCCGCCCCGCGCGCGCCCCCCCAGGCCCGCCCGCCTCCGCCCCGGCGGCCGGGCTCTCCCCGCCCGCGCCTTCGGCGCCCTCTTCACCGGCCCTGCCGCTGCGGGCCCCGCGCGCTGCTGGCGCCTGCGCCCCCCCCGGTCGCTGCGCCGCCCTCCCTCGCCGCCCCGCGGCCCCCGCCCCGCCCCGGCGCCCGTCCTGCGGCCGCCGCCCCTGGCAGCCTCCGTCGCTCGCGGGTGCCCGCCCGCTGCCTCGCTGCCCCCGGCGCCCCGAGGCCGCGCCAGGCCGTTGCCTCGTGGGGGGCCGGCCGTCTCGCCTTTTCCCATGCCTCTTCTTTGGCCAGTTGCCGCGCGCGTGGCTTCCCGCGCGCGCGTCCGACGGTGTGGCGTGTCGCCAGCCGCGACGACGGAAAGGTGTGTGTGTGTGTGTGCGTGTGTGTGTATGCCAGTGTCGCAGTCATCGTCCACTTGCGTCGAACGGGTTTCCATCCTTCGTGGACTAGCTATAGCTTTCTCTCTTGGCCAAGTTTTTCTTGCTGAGCTATTGTTGCGCATTTTTTCCCAGATGTTTCCTTTCCGTGCCGATGGACAACCGGCAACCGTAAAGTTGCCTCGTGTTGTCACGTTGCTTGTCGCAGCCATGATGCGCGTCTTCATATTTTCGCTAGTGCGGCCCCATGGCCTCCATCCGAGTGTGCGAGTTTGTATGGTGTTTCGTGGGCATTTTGAACTTCTCATCCGGGTATTGTCTTGGTTGTAACTCACGCCATTTGCTTTTGGCAGAGGGCCTTTGGGATGCTGCTCCCACAGTTTCCACTACAGATACACAGTCTTGCTTTTTGCTCGATTTCAAGGCAAATGGCAAATCTGCCACCGTGCGAAAACATATTATTTGTGGTGACCCTTCGATCACCGCCCAGAGAGCCATCACATGTGACGCCACTGGTCTCCCATGTTTGAGGAACTTTGGGAGCTACTTGGGCCGTTGTGGGGCTTTGGTGGGCTTATATGCGATTATCTTCAGGGCGGAGTAGGATGATGATAAAGTGATACGGATGATGAGGAACACCGTCACATGTGACACATTTCTTTCTTGTTTCTTGACGTATTGTCAGTATGGGGCTGTCTTGAGCTCCGATAGGACAATCTGGGGGGCCCTTTGGGTCGATTCGGGCCGTTTTGGGATTGCATTGGGCCGTCTTGGGGCTCTCTTGGGCCGTTTTGGAAACCTCTTGGTTGTGTGGAGGCTCTCCTGGAGACGTCGCGGGGTCGTTTGGGATCGTCTCGGGCCGCTTATGGGGCCCTCCTTAGGCCGTCGTGGATCCTTGCTGCGATCCTCGTGGGCCCCAAGCGATCAAGATCCTCACTCCCTGGGCGTCGTGGGCAACACGCAGCATCCAGGCGACGACACCTCTTTGCCCTACCTCCGACGTTGTGCTTTTCCATAGCCTGGACCTGCAGAGCTCTCGACCACTTCCCGGTGGCTGGCTTTTCGCCTCGAGTTCTTGTTTGACTGTCCTGGCGTCTGGCGAGGGCCCCCAGAGACCTTCCGTTGTGCTTGTGCTCGCGACGCGAGGTCTGTCCCTCCCTGAGTCCGTCGCCGCCCCGTCTTCGTCGCGCGCGGGGCCTCCCAGGACGCGGCCGAGAAGTCGTACGCGGAGGCGCAGAGGAGCAACCCCGAGCAGACCCTCGCGAGCCTCGTGGGCTGCCTCGACGTTGCGGCGTGCCCCGACGAGGAGGGGTGGGCGTGGGGCCTCACGCCCAGGCCTCCAGCGCCAGGGCTTTGCGGTTGCGGCGGGCTCGCCCTGATTTCGGGATCCTCCTCCTCCTCCTCCTGCTCCTCCTCCTCCTCCTCCTCCAGGGAGGAGTCGAAGCCGAAAAAGAAACAGCGCCATAGACGTTTTCAGGCGACGCGCGGCTTCCTGGGGCGAGGGGGGCGCACAGCCAAAATCAAATAATAACAAACACACATTAACATAAGCGTTTGGCGCTCCACGCGGACCCCCCGCCCCTGGTGCGCGGAGCGCGCCGGGGGCGGGGCCGGAGGCGCCGCCGGGGGGGCCAAGGCGCGGATCCAAGGCATCCGCGTGGAACGCCAAAAGTTTATGCTTATGTGGCTTTTTCTTCTTCGACAAAACCGGCTTTCGAACGTACTACTGAGGCTCATTCACACTCCAATTCATTCGCAGTTAGATTGATGTCCAGACCGTCACAACTGAAGCCCGTTAATATTCGAAAGCTCTTGCGCCTAGACATTCACGGCGGACAGGTCCATGCGAGTAGATGCACATATGGGGAGCTCCACGCAGTGAATAATTCTTCTTCGACAAAACCGGCTTTCGAAGCAAGGGACCTGTGCACCCCTCGGTCCTGGGCGTGCTTTTGTCAGGCTTTCTGCCTCCTCGGTCCAGGGGCAGGTACCCTGGCATCTTGTCGCGTTCTGTGTGCCTCCGTCGGCGGGCTCCTGCTGCCCCACTATACCGAACGCGCACGTGCGCCGTCCTCCAGCGTGGGAAGTTTTGTTTTTGGAGCGGCTGCGGCCAAGTCTCGTCGCAATTCTCAAGGCGCCGCTGGGTGACTTTCGTCGGAGGGTCCTCGCTGAACGGCCCCGTCCGCATTCCGATACGCACTGGGCTCTCTCTCTGCGGAGCGGCCCTTCGAAGCGGACGATCCCCAGGCCACGCGCTTCGGCGCGCGTGCTTCAACCTTCTAAGGCGGTGGCAAGTCTCAAGCCACGGGGGAGGGGTTCGTCAAGTTCTGTAGACTGATTCCATGAGTTGTGGAGAGGCTTACGTGTGGATGGCCGGGGGTCGCGACATGGCCTCGGCTTGCCCAGGTCATCGCTGACCCGGGGTAGCGTTAAGGGGCGGGCACGTCCCTTTACATGAGGAGTATTCAAAAATAGTCAAATAGTAGTCTGAGGGCTTCTTTTATTTGTAGACTATTTTGGGGTATTGCTTTTTATTTTTCATCCAAAATCCGCCTGTAGGAGGACACGCCCGACCTAAGGTTAGCGCGTCCCCTATCTGATCGATCGGTGTCTCATCGTCGCGGCACACTGCAGCTGTGTACTTTGCTGGGTAACCTTCGCAGCGCTGGTTGTCGGTGGCGCGCGCAAGGGAGGGTGGAGGAGGGCGCGAGGAGGGTGGGCTTCGAAGATGGTGGGGTAGTTGTTAGACGTCAGGGGCCACCTTTGAAGGGCCTGAAGGCTTCTGAGAGGGCTTCTCAGCAGCCTCTTGGCCCTTCTTTGAAGGCCCGCCTTCAAGAGCCCCTCGCCTTCTTAGAATACCACTCACGTCGCCCCCCTTGTGCGCACCGCCAAAGTTGACCCGCGCTTGCACCCAGTGTTTCTCCGATTTGTTTCTCGTCCCGAACTCTCCCTCTTTCTCTCTCGCTCTGTCCTGCGCGCTCTGTCTCTCTCTCTCTCTTGTTGTTTGTCTCTCTCATGTTTATATGTTTGTTCCCTCTCTC